CGCAGGACGACGGACGACGGACGCAAAGTGATGAGAAAAGCTCACTTGACCTTTCAGGTCAGGTGAGCTAAAAATGAAAGTGGCCGCATCCGTGTTCATTCTCAACCTTTATATATGTTATGTATTATCATCAAATACAACTTACATTTAAATATTAAGAATGAACACAAATGCGGCCACTTCCATTTCAGACAGAAACCGTCTAAAAATTAACCAAAATGCTAAAATTTCGAAGATTTCAGTTATTTAGCATGACTTCATGATGCTAGTACCCGATACATGTTCATTGTATTATCAAAAACAGCCCATATGTATGTAACAGAAGTATTCTTCTTTCCAATGAATAGTTAAAAGTTTACATTTTAACAATTTTGTAAAACTGCTTTATTTTGGGGCCAAAAAGGGGTCTTACTGAACCTACTCCTTTCGATACAAGTCTCCAAGTAGGTTATGGGATTTTAGAGTTAATCTTGGACAAATTTGTTTAACTGTAGCTTGTTTAGTTCAAGTTACAAATAATTGATGCATATTCAGGAAAAGAACAAAGTATAAAAATAAATTAATTAATTAGGTTCTGCTAAGTATATATAGTCAGATAGAATGAGGAGCTTGAAATTTGGATTTCCACTGAAACAAAATTGCATGCTAAGCATCACACCAAACTTGTAATTGAAATTATCTGAAAAATGCAAGTGAGGTATCTGACAGATCTGTAAAATACTGACACATTCATCACTGACATGCTGCTGGCTAAATTTCCCTACTGAAAATGTAAAGTGGGATTTCACTGAAAATACCAGTGGAGTTCCATCAGAGTTCCATTGGAATACCACTGTATTACCACTGGGAAATTTGGTCGGGATTTTCATTGGACATTCATCGTTTTCCATTGGGATATCAGTGGAATATCCAGTGGGATTCCGGTGAATACTCGAGTGGAATACAGTGGAAATTCCATTGGAATACCAGTGAAAACTTCGTTAGAATACCATTGTTTTCCCACTGGACATTTATTGTTTTCTACTGGGATACCAGTGGAAATTCCATTGGAAATTGTAACAATCAACCAAAGAAAACCAGTGATATTTCAATGGAAATTGACAATTCCACTGAAATGTTAGATATCATTTTGCATGCACTGCTTATTTTTGAATGAATTAATAAGAAAACTTGAAATAAGACAATAACCATTTTAATGCAAGTCAACAATTAAAGAAATTACAACAGTTTATACATCATCCACATTTAAGACCTTTTAAACGAAAAGATCAACCTCTTTAAAATATTAACGTTGATAAATTATCATTTTTTAGTCAAAGATGTATTTACTTAATTGTACATGTAAATCATTTTTCTGGTTAAATCATTCATAAGTCCATGGTAACTTTTGGTCCTCTTGAAATCTTTCACAAATGGTTTTAATTTTCAATTTTACAAATTTGTTTATTGTGCATTAAACAAACAAAAATGTCCAGTTTACATGCATACGAAATACTTTGTCAGTTTGGTCAGTTTTCTTCATCATCCATTGATATTATTCATGAATTAAGTCCAAAGTTTCTGCATTCCAATCCTGTTCCATTAAGTCTTCATTGATTAATCTGAAAGAAAAAAAAATCATACATCATGACATGCATAGAATTTTGAATTAAAATAACATTACAATACCATGCTCCAGTCTGCAATTATTCAAAAATATATGTTACTGGCATATTTTATTTGTGTTTGTGTGTAATTTATTCACAACATTTATACACTAAGAGCAATTTAGACACATGTATGTCTATTGTTGAAGACTATGTGTTCTCTAGATATCTTTGGCTATAGTTGTTGGGTTGCTGTCTCTTAGACTTATAACACACATCTCTTTTTATCAAAATAGACTTTTATTGTTCATGGATCAGGTGTCTCTCAAAGCCAAATAAAATAGTATGTGTGGTTCCAGTTACATTTAAAAAAAAATTAGGGTAGGTAGGTAAGAATTTTTTTTATTATATGGTTTTTTTTTACATTGAGTCTATCATGTCTATGGGAGCAACATTCTGACTTAAAAAGTACTTACTGAAAAATGACAAAAAAATCTTTAGGGTAGGCTATTATTAAGACTAAAAAAAGAAGGTAGGTAAGGTAATTAGAACCACGCATATATTTTTATTTAACCTCATATTACCTTTCCCTTTGTGTTGTGTTTGTTGTTGGTTTACTATCTGGTTGAGGCATACCAGACACCTCATTTTGTTCACATAATAGCCATGATTAACCATTGTGCATGATGATCAGATCAATGTTTTTGAGATGTGTTTACAGCTTATAGATGTGAAAGATTAACATGATTAATGTATTTTTATTTCAAGTGTGGGAAGGATGAAAAAATAATTCAATAAGTACCTTTCAATAATCTTATAAAATTTCTTTTCTATTGCTGGTTCTTTTGTTTTCATCGTGTTTTCATATTATTGAGTGGATATTGATCGATGCACAGTCATCATTTTTGCAGCTTTGTACCTTCACCATGATCAATCCCTTTTAATATATAGACAACCTAAAAAAAGTGTAAAAACATTTTATTAATAATTTTTAATTCTGGTCATGACCTAGCTGTATGCATCATATATTACTGATATTTATCATACAATGTACATATATAATTAAGAAGCTTATTTCATTTAAGTATAAAGATTCTAAAACACAATATTAACCTTTAGGGATTTTTTGTGTTGCATGTCCATCCAAATCAGAACATGACAAAATTAAGTTGAATGTGCCTGACATTGTGTAGTAAACATCTTTCCTTGATTGTGAAGGCACACAATGTAATTGAATATTGAATAATAAAATTATTATTACATTCCCACCTCCCCCTTTTCAGAACACCAAATGGTCATCCTCAAAGTGTGAACTAACGGAGCACATGAATGAAGCTAAAGGGGGTGTATATCTTTTTTTTAATTTTAATGAAAAAATATTCATGATGTAAAATTCAAATATAAAACCTCTTAAAAATTACCTACCTGTATCTGGTGTACGTCTGCCCTACACCAACACATCGTCAATTCTTGGTTCAACAGCTAATGTCATGCCTAAATGTTCTGCCTTTAATGTCTATTTCTTTATTTATCGAAGGTTATTGAGTATTAATAATTATTAACATGATTAATGTAACCACAGCTGGACAGGATACATCCTCGTACAATATTTTTAGTTTCAAATTTGAACACATTTCGTGTATTAATGATAACGACGATCTGATTGGCCGATCGGAAATCCCGGAAATTGAGTTATCCAATCAAATCAGTGGTTATATTTATAGTCTGGTAGAAAAAAATGGCAGCCTCCATGAATGTAAACATGTGTGTTGAAAAACAACATTATAGACTAGAGTTTCACGAATTTTCTGCTCAAATTATGCCAAAAACACTGACATTTAGCGTACAATTGATTGGAGCGGATTTTATGTGAAATGTTTCTATAGATTAACTTATATGACCCGAGTTCCAGTGCCGAGTTCAGGACATGAAAATGATGAAAAATTCATCACACCGACAAAGTTAAGATACCGAAACAGTTTATAGAACAATGTGGAAAATGAAAGCCGTTCACTTTTACTTTTCTCAATAGAACAGTAGACCAGTAACAGTTAATGAACATGATGAAGTCAAAGGAGAAATAATTATATTATTGTATACATGTAGACTGTAGTGCAGGGCAGTTGCAAGTACGGTCACTTGAAGAAAAAAACGGAGTTATCCTAACAATTCGTACAGACTGAAGATAATTTCTGCAACAGAACTGTTTAACTAGAGGCTCTCAAGAGCCTGTGTCGCTCACCTGTATTTACTGATGCTTTAGAAATCATGTAAAATAAGGTTTAAATCATAATTAATAGTATTAGATATTAGATATTATAATGATATCTAAGATAATAACAAAAAACTGCAAAATTTTTGTAAAATTACTAACTCAGGGGCAGCAACCCAACAGCGGGTTGTCGGGTTCGTCTGAAAATTTCAGGGCAGATAAATCTAAATCTGATGAACATTTTTGCCACCTGTCAGATTTGCTCTAAATGCTTTAGTTTCATAGATATAAACCAAAAACTGCATTTTACCCCGATGTTCTATTTTTAAAATTTACAAAAAATTGTTAAAAATTGACTATTAAGGGCAATAGCTCCAAAAGGGGTCGACTGACAATTTTGGTCATAGAAACTTATTTGTAGATCTTACTTTGCTGAACATTATTGCTGTTTATAGTTTATCTCTATCTATTATAATATTCAAGATAATAACCAACTAGAGGCTCTCAAGAGCCTGTGTCCCTCACCTGATTCTACTTTGGTTTTGGAAATAATGTAAAAATAGATTAAAATCATAACAGATACCCTAATAATGAGTGAGGCCAAATTTGGTTTAATATTGGTCCTGTAATTTAATAAAAAATCCTGGTGGCCATCTTGAACAGTAAATCGGCAACAAAGTAGCAACACTTAATCAGCACCTCATAAGAAACATTTATGCCATGTTTTGGTTTCATTCCATTCAGTGCACCTCTAGAAGAAGCATTTGTATGTATTTCCCATAGGGTCTTATGTTAAAGGAAGTCCTCCCATTGGCGGCCATCATGGATAAAGGATCAGCTTCAAAGTAACAAAACTTAGTCAGCACCTCATAAGGAACATTCATGCCATGTTTGGTTTCAATCCATTCAGTATGTGGTTCTCTAAAAGAAGACATTTGTATGTATTGTCCATAGGGTCCTTTGTTAAACATTGTCCCCATCTGGCAGCCATCATGGATGAAGGATCAGCTTCAAAGTAACAACACTTGGTCAGCATCTCAAAAGGAACATGCATGCCATGTTTGGTTTCATTCCATTCGATGGTTCTCTAAAAGAAAACATTTGTACGTATTTCTCATAGGGTCCTATGTTAAACTAAGTCCTCCGCTGGCGGCCATCTTAGATTATGGATTGGCTTCATAGTAACAACACTTGGTCAGCACCTCATAAGGAACATTCATGCCATGTTTGGTTTCATTGCATTCAGTGGTTCTCTAAAAGAAGACATTTGTATGTATTTCCCATAGGGTCCTATATATGTTAAACTAAGTCCCCCGCTGGCGGCCATCTTGGATGATGGATCAGCTTCAAAGTAACAACACTTGGTCAGCACCTCATAAGGAACATTCTTGCCATGTTTGGTTTCATTCCATTCAGTGGTTCTTTAAAAGAAGACATTTGGATGTATTTCTCATAGGGTCGCTTGTTAAACTAAGTCCCCTGCAGGCAGCCATCTTGGATTATGGATCGGCTTCAAAGTAACAACACTCTGTCAGCACCTCATAAGAAACATTCATGCCATGTTTGGTTTCATTCCATTCAGTGGTTCTCTAAAAGAAGACATTTGTATGTATTTCCCATAGGGTCCAATGTTAAACTAAGTCCCCTGCTGGCGGCCATCTTGAATTATGGATCAGCTTCAAAGTAACAACACTTGGTCAGCACCTCATAAGGAACATTCTTGCCATGTTTGGTTTCATTCCATTCAGTGGTTCTTTAAAAGAAGACATTTGTATGTATTTCTCATAGGGTCCCTTGTTAAACTAAGTCCTCTGCAGGCAGCCATCTTGGATTATGGATCGGCTTCAAAGTAACAACACTCGGTCAGCACCTCATAAGAAACATTCATGCCATGTTTGGTTTCATTCCATTCAGTGGTTCTCTGAAAGAAGACGTTTGTATGTTTTTCCCATAGGGTCCCATGTTAAAATAAGTCCCCTGCTGGCGGCCATCTTGGATTATGATCCATCCCTTTTAATATATAGACAACCTAAAAAAAGTGTAAAAACATTTTATTAATAATTTTTAATTCTGGTCATGACCTAGCTGTATGCATCATATATTACTGATATTTATCATACAATGTACATATATAATTAAGAAGCTTCTTTCAGTTAAGTATAAAGACTCTAAAACACAATATTAACCTTTAGGGATTTTTTGTGTTGCATGTCCATCCAAATCAGAACATGACAAAATTAAGTTGAATGTGCCTGACATTGTGTAGTAAACTGCAAACATCTTTCCTTGATTGTGAAGGCACACAATGTAATTCAATATTGAATAATAAAATTATTATTACATTCCCACCTCCCCCTTTTCAGAACACCAAATGGTCATCCTCAAAGTGCGAACTAACGGAGCCCATGAATGAAACTAAAGGGGGTGTATATCTTTTTTTTTAATTTTAATTAAAAATATTCATGATGTAAAAATCAAATGTAAAATCTCTTAAAAATTACCTGTATCTGCTGTACGTCTGCCCTACATCAGCACATCGTCTCATCGTAAATTCTTGGTTCAACAGCTAATGTCATACCTAAATGTTCTGCCTTTAATGTCTATTTCTTTATTTATCGAAGGTTGTTGAGTATTAATTATTATTAACATGATTAATGTAACCACAGCTGGACAATGCTGGACAGGATACATACTCGTACAATATTTTTAGTTTCAAATTTGAACACATTCCGTGTATTAATGATAACAACTATCTGATTGGCCGATCGGAAATCCCGGAAATAGAGTTATCCAATCAAATCAGCGGTTATATATATAGTCTAGTAGAAAAAAATGGCAGCCTCCATGAATGTAAACATGTGTGTTGAAAAACAACATTATAGACTACAGTTTCACGAATTTTCTGCTCAAATTATGCCAAAACACTGACACTTAGCGTACAATTGATTGGAGCGGATTATATGTGAAATGTTTCTATAGATTAACTTATATGACCAGAGTTCCAGTGCCGAGTTCAGGACATGAAAATGATGAAAAATTCATCACACCGACAAAGTTAAGATACCGAAACAGTTTATAGAACAATGTGGAAAATGAAAGCCGTTCACTTTACTTTTCTCAGTAGACCAGTAACAGATAATGAACATGATGAAGTCAAAGGAGAAATAATTATATTATTGTATACATGTAGACTGTAGTGCAGGGCAGTTGCCAGTACGGTCACTTGAAGAAAAAAAACAGAGTTATCCTAACAATTCGTACAGTCTGAAGATAATTTCTGCAACAGATCTGTTTAAAACGGCCCTTTTAAGAGCCATGCACATTTTTCAAAAAGAATCTTAATTGTTTTTGTTCGTTAAATCAAACAGAATCTTATTCTCAACCCAATTTGATATAAAATATTCATTTCTTTATTTATATTATCTGATTATTGCACATTTAATTTTATTTCTTAATAGTTAAAATGTATCCTTTCAATGTGTCATACTCATAGGCTATATATGGTGATGCATTATATACACCCTACATCTGAGGAGCTACCATTTTACTTATTTTATATGGGGGGGGGGGGGGTGTCTTTCAGACCAAATGATTATTTTCATTTGTTACTAGGCAAGTGATTTCATATTACATTTAACCATGTAACACTTTTTGAACAAATGTTTCATTATACATGTATATATGTAGGTTTATGAAATATTCATTACATCCCATATATTATCATGATTATAATATTTAATTTCTTATCAGGCCAGCAAATTATATGTTACAAATTAAATCCTTTATATAATAATCATGCACTTAATTATTTGAAAAATTTAAATTAGAAGTATATATTCCTTTAAATTTCTAAGTCCAAAATTCCACTGGAATATTTGCATTAAATCAAAACTCCACTGAAATATAAACAATAATATTCCACTGGAAATTAATTGGAAAATCTTTGGAAGTTTCATTGGAAATTTCACTGATTTTCCATTGGAATTACAGTGTGAAAAATATTCCAGATGTTTTGGATGAAATTCTAATGGGATTCCATTGGAATATTTTTTTCCACTGAATACCAGTGTAATTTCACTGGAAATCCAGTGGAATCCCGTACTCATTTTCAGTAGGGAATGTAATTAAGTAATCCTGTTCAGTATTTTTTCGGAATATTTATTGAATGAACAGCTACGCAAAGATCATATAACAGTGCACCCTTATCTTGCATCTTGAAATTATTTATCTGACAGTCATCTGAATTTTTTTTTTTAATCAAACAGTGTGTAATGTTCACCAATCCCAACAATTATGTAAAGTTTTCAGTAAATCAATCACAGCAAGTTATAGTACATGTAAAAATTTACATAAATTTGACAATTAAAAATCCCATACAACTCTGGAATGGAAAATTAGAAAATTGAAAAATTGAAATGGAGCCTCCTTTAATCAATCCAAACAATAATGTAATGTAAATATGGACCATGAAAATGAGGTCAAATTCATATGAAACACTATTATTGACCTAAATTGCTTATTATAAGTATCTGATTAACTGACAAAACCATGAAAACTAAACATTGACAAATGAACTATGAAAATGAGGTCAAGGTCATACAAAACCTGCCAAACAGACATGTACATCTTACAATTATTCCATACACAAAATATAGTGGCCATATTGCTTGTAATATCTGAGAAATAGATCAAACCTCAAAAAATTTACATTGTCTAATGAACCATGAAAATTGGGTCAAAGTAAGATGAAACCTGCAAGTCAGTACACTTTCACTCATTCCATACACCATATATAGTTGACCTATTGCTTATTTACAGTATCTGAGATAAGGACTTGACCACGAAAACTTAACCTTGATCACTGAAATGAGATCAAGGTCAGGTGAACCCTGTTTGACAGTCATGTAGACCTTGCAAGGAAACCATATGCCAAATAGTTTTCCAATTACTCATATTAAGTGAGTATTTCACATGACAATAAACTGCTTCGCTGAGTGCAGCTGGATACATCCGCAGAGGTCCAACCCTGAACAGTTGGGGCAAAAATGGACACAATATTCAAGCTTGATACAGGTCTGAATTTGGATTGTAATTAAATATTTGACACATTATAGGTTTCTGACACAGAATAAATGTAGTCAAAAGAACTTGAAATTGGTTATATGATTTGAATTTATATTCAATTGAAGATTTCTTGCTGTTGTGCAATACACTTTGCTGTTGAGCAATACTTAGTAAATCTGTTTTCAGACTATATACAAAGAATTAGGAAAATAAATTGTGAACACTAATTTTTCTTTGGAAAATTGACAAATCTTAAATTTTGCGGTCGTATAAAAACACTTTGTTTTTATCAGTCACTGAACCATGAAAATGAGGTCAAGGACAACGGACATATGACAGATGGAAATTTCGTAACATTAGGTATCTGCATACAAGGTATGTAGCTTCTACTATATCTAAAATATTAAGCTTTATACAAATTGTTTACGCTGTCACCGCAGGATTGTAATCACTATGAATCGCATTCTACAACTTTCTTAGCAGGCGAGACAAAAATTGCCTTAATTCAAACAGTTCAAGTCCCCCAACTCTGGAACAGAATAGTAGCAAATTTTTAAAATCGAAATGGAGCTTCCTTTTATCAATCCCAGTAATAATGTAAAGTTTTGGGGGAATCAATCCATGCATACTGGAGTTAGTGAGCCAATATGTGAAAAATTGCCTTTATTCAAACTGTTACCTGGTTACAGTTTAAGAACTCTGAAATAACACAGCAAAAAAAAAAATTTAAATAGAAAGGCAACTTTCTTCCGTCAAAACTAATATTGTGTTTAAAGTATCTGAGAATTGGTTTATGCATATATTTAAGTTATCATACCAAAAATGTGTTAACAGATGGACAAAAGGACACAGACGGACATTGGTATACCATAAATAGTCCATCTTTGACAGGTGTATACCTAAAAACTCAAAGTCCCAGTATCCACAATCAGAAAAAGTTGTGACAGATCTGAAAAGTACTAACACTTTACAACTCAACTGTCAAGCTCCTGGTGAAATATGAAGTCATTCTTTGCAGAAGTTCCTGAGAAAAAAGTGACAGAATATTATTGGACAAACATGTTGAATGGACTGACAAGGTGAATATAATATAGCCCCAAACTTATAGAGTGGGGATATATTAAGTCAGTTAAATGGGAAGGAATAGAAATTTTGTCCTGCAATAGATCAACTGACAAACCCCCACTCTTTGGCTAAATTATTGAAAATAAAAAATGGCTAAATTATTGAAAATAAAAAATGATAAAAGAACAGAGTTCCAATGTCCCCCATGGTGCACATATCTTATTTGTCCAATGGCAATAACAATTTGTTCATTATAACTTTTTATTAATCTCTAAGAGAAATGTAGGCTAATGAGAGCAAATGCAATGCAATTTCCGATATAATTAATATTTCCAAGGGCATAACTCATTAAAATATTTGATCAGCACTTATTTTAGAAATTGTCTAAGACATTGCTGATAAACCTATGACATAAGTTTCATAAAAATCTGGCAAGAATTGTACACATGAGAATGCTAACAATGCAATTTTCCATATAATCAATATTTCCAAGGGGCATAACTCTTTTAAAAATAATTGACCAGCAATGATTTTCTAACTTGTCGGAGACATTGTTGATATAAACTTATGATATAAGTTCCATAAAAATCTGGCAAGAATTTATATAGTAACAGTATACACATGAGAGCGCTAACAATGCAATTTTCCATATAATCAATATTTCCAAGGGGCATAACTCTTTTGAAAATAATTGATCTGCAATGATTTTCTAACTTGTTGGAGACATTGTTGATATAAACCTATGACATAAGTTCCATAAAAATCTGTCAAGAATTGTACACATGAGAGTGCTAACAATGCAATTTTCCATATAATTAATGTTTCTAAGGGGCATAACTCTTTTAAAAATAGTTCATTAGCACTGAATTCTGAAATTGTCCAAGACATTGCTGATATAAATCTATGATATAAGTTTTATAATAAAATGCTCCCCTGGGCGCAGCTTGATACGACCGCAGAGGTCGAACCTTGAACAGTTGGGGCAAGTATTGACACAACATTCAAGCTTGATACAGCACTGAATTTGGATTGTGATTAAATATTTAACACAGCATAGGTTTCTGACACAGAATGAATGTGGTCTAAGAACTTAAAAATTTTTAATTTACCTATTATGGTCCAATATCCAAAATCTAAATACATACACAGTTAGATTCAGCATATCAAAATACCCCAAGAATTCAATTTTTGTTAAAATCAAACTCCCAAGAATTCAATTTTTGTTAAAATCAAACTAACTTTAATTTTGGACCCTTGGGACCTTAATGTAGACCAATTTGAAAACGGGACCAAAAATTAAGAATCTAAATAGACGGTTAGATTCAGCATATCAAAGAACCCCAATTTTTGATGAAATCAAACCATATCATTATTATTTGCTTTTATATGTAAATAAAAAATAACCAACTTAAAATGGAAAATTTTAAAGAAAAAAAAAGGAAAAAAAGGAAAAAAAAATCCCTCCCCCAATTTTTTTGAACCCCCTTATGATTCATCACCCCCAAACTCAATCCCAGCCTCCCCTTTGTGGTATGGTACCTTGCAGTACAATTTGAGAGAGATCCATACACTTGAACACAAGTTATTGTCTGGAAACTAGAAAAATGCTTATTTTTAGGCCCCTTTTTGGCCCCAAATTCCTAAATTTAGGGCAATTACCCCCAAACTCAAACCCAGCTTTCCCTTTGTGATATGGAACCTTGTAGTACAATTTCATAAAGATCCATAACACTTACACACAAGTTATTGTCCTGAAACTAGAAAAATGCTTGTTTTTTGCCCCTTTTTTGCCCCTAATTCCTAAAATTTTGAGGCAATTACCCCCAAAATCAATCCCAGCCCACCCTTTGTGGTATGGTACCTTGCAGTACAATTTCAGAGAGATCCATACACTTGAACACAAGTTATTGTCTGGAAACTAGAAAAATGCTTATTTTTGGCCCCTTTTTGGCCCCTCATTCCTAAACGTTTTGGGCAATTACCCCCAAACTCAATTCCAGCTTTCTCTTTGTGGTATGGAACCTTGTAGTACAATTTCACAAAGATCCATACACTTACACACAAGTTATTGTCCTGAAACTAGAAAAATGCTTGTTTTTTGCCCCTAATTCCTAAAATTTTGAGGCAATTACCCCCAAAATCAATCCCAGCTTTCCCTTTGTGGTATGGTACCTTGCAGTACAATTTCAGAGAGATCCATACACTAACACACAAGTTATGTCTGGAAGTTGCAAAAATGCTTATTTTTGGCCCCTATTTGGCCGCTTATTCCTTAACTGTTAGTACCTCAACCCCCAAAATCAATCCCAACCTTCCTTTTGTGGTATTGAACCTTATGGTAAAATTTCATAGAGATCCATTCACTTAAACTAAAGTTAGAGTGCGAAAACCAATGTGTCTTTGGACAATGACGATGACGACGTCATACCAATATACGACCGCAAAATTTTTTTTGCAGTCGTATAAAAATGTTTGTTTTGGGCCCCTAATTCCTAAACGGTTGGGACCATCATCCCCAAAATCAATCCCAAGTTTCCTTTTGTGGTATTGAACCTTCTTAAAATATTTCATAGAGATCCATTAACTTAAACTAAAGTTATTGTCCAGAAACCAATGTGTCTTAGGACGACGACATCATACCATTATACGATCACAAAAATTTTTTTGCGGCCGTATAAAAACTGCATTTAACTACTATGTTCTTTCTTGGCAATAGCAGCCATGTTTCATGATGCATTAATTATATTTTCGATATAATTTCTAAGCTAAATACTGAATAGAAATTCCAGGTATAATTTCAAACAAAGAGTGGACGTGGATAGTATCTAGCATTCTGAGATTATTGCATAGAAATGTGAGTCAATTCACTCAAGGATCCCACATCTCATAATTAGTTCAATTATCTCTCTTGAAATATTTCAGACGAGGAATTCTATTTATGCACATTAGCAGGTTGTGTACTGTATGTGGAGTTTCATCAATATCAATTGTGCTGTTAAGGAGTTGTGCTTCTGAGAACCAGACCTGCCAACTTTTGAAAATCCCCATGGGGGTTTAGTGCGCGACCAGATTTTTAAGGGTTAACATTTTTGCGGCGTTTCTGTGTGAACTGTTCTATACTTTTGAAATAGTCTCATATCTCTTCTTTTTTTCTTTTGGTATACTGATGATGAGCTAACAAGCCTTGATTTCTTCTATTTGCATGATTCTTGTACTTATTAATTGGCAAAATAACTTAAGAATAGAGAAAAATGGCCTAATAAAATAAAGGATACAAAATGAAGACCCCCCATTTCCCCTAAGACCTAAACCTAAATGTCCTAAAGTTAGAAGGATTGAAACAGATCTTGAGTTAGTTATCATTATTGAGAAAATGGATAAAATTTGAGTTAACTTTCTTGGTATTCAAAGGTGCTCCTACCGGCGGAGGCTTATACACAGTAGAAGTGAATACAAAATGGCGTCGATATTAAAACAGAACTGGACAGAAACACGACAGATTACAAAAATTTTCATGGATTTCAAGATAAACGATGTTTCATAATGAGTTCATTACAGTTTTCGTCTTTCAGTTAATTACGTTTTTGTCATGATACTACGGTAAACGTTACAAATTGTGATCATATGATAAATTGATTAAAATTGAAATGCTGACTGACAGATTATATTTACAAATTAATTAATTTTGAGGATCTTTATGACCCATCGGATAAGCAGATTACCTGTGACAACAGATTATGACACCTATTGTGACCGTTGATTAACTTGGGGTCGTAAACTTGTCATAAATATGTCGCCAGGTAAAATTATAGATTTACAGAAATTGATCAAAAAAACTTCAAAATCGGTAACAAACAAATTTTGCAGGTACATCTTGTGAAAATCGGGATTTTGACTTGTTTTACGATCCCAGTATTGGGATTCGGGTTAAGGCATGAAAATCGGGATGATACCGCCAAAATCGGGATAGTTGGCAAGTCTGGAGAACTGTTGCCACATGTTGTAATTAACTAAGTGCATGCAAGTTCAAATATCTCCCTTGAAATATTTTGGACCAGGATAATTCTCCTTAATGGATATGTACATACTCATGCAGGTTTTGTACTGCAACTGTGTTAAGTTTCATCTGTATCTGTATATACATTAAGGAGGAGTTTCACTTACAGGAAATATGGGCAGACAGACAGACAGGGTGATTCCTAAATATAATTCCTAATAAAATGCTTCGCTGAGCGCAGCCTGATATGACCGCAGAGGTCGAACCCTGAACAGTTGGTGCAAGTTTGGACACAATATTCAAGCTTGATACTGTCTGAATTTGGATTGTGATCAAATTTTTGACATAATATAGGTTTCTGACACAAAATAAATGTGGTGAATTATCTAAAAATGTTAAATGGGTTAAAAAATTTGTATTAAATTTCAATTGAAGATTTCTTGCTATTGCGCAATACTGTGCAAAAGAAGATTTCTTGCAATTGAGCAATACTGTGCAATTCAATATTTCTTGCTATTGCGCAATACTGTGAAATTGAAGATTTCTTGCTATTGTGCTATTGGATATTTCTTGCTATTGCCCAATACTGTGCAATTGAAGATTTCTTGTTATTGCGCAATACTGTGCAATTGAAGATTTCTTGCTATTGCGCAATACTGTGCAATTGAAAATTTCTTGCTATTGCACAATACTTAATATAATAATTTACACATCCTGTTTAGTGTGTCGTATCTCTTGCCTTATCATTATTATTTGCTTTTATATATAAATCAGAAATTTAATAATAAAGTTTTTGGCAAATTTCCAATATACATGATTTAAAAGCAGTTTAGGTGAGATAAACAAAAAAGCTTCATCAGCAACATTTTATATTGGCAAATTTCTAATGAAGTTCATTAAACTAAAGTTATTGGCAACTTTCCAATGGAATTTATTAATAATAAAGTTTTTGGCAAATTTCCAATATACATAATTTAAAAGCAGTTTAGGTGAGATATTCAAATCAGTTTCAATTACCAACCTTACACTGCCTTTTAAATTATGTTTTGTACTTAAGTAATTGTCCATTAACCTGGAAACCCTTTTCCCCCCTTTTTTGCACCTTATTCCTTAACGGTTTGAGCCATAACTCCCAAAGACAATTCTTACCATCCCTTTGTGGTATTCCAATATCCAAAATCTAAATACATGGTTAGATTCAGCATATCAAAGAACCCCAAGAATTCAGTTTTTGATGAAATCAAATAAAGTTCAATTTTGGACCCTTTAAACCTCAATGTGGACCAATTTGATAACCGTGCCCAAATATAAAAAATCTAAATGCATGGTTAGATTCAGCATATCGAAGAACCCCATATATTCAATTTTTGTTGAAATCAAAAAAAGTTTAATTTTGGACCCCGATTTGGACCAACTTGAAAACTGGGCCCATAATCAAATAAATTGCTTCGCTGAGCGCAGCTGGATACGACCACAGATGTCCAACCCTGAAAAGTTGGGCCAAAATGGACACAATATTCACGCTTGATACAGGTCTGAATTTGGATTGTAACTAAATTTTTGACACATAATAAATAGGTTTCTGACACAGAATAACTGTAGTCAAAGAACTTCAAATTGGTTATATGATTTGAATTTATATTCAATTTATTACATTTGTGCAATACACTATGCTATGAATATTAACTCCCCAAAAAAATTATTTGAAGAAATTTTCTTTTAATTTCTGAAATCTGAAATGAGAAAAATTGTCCCCCCCCTCCAATTTTTTTCCCCTCCCCCTTTCCCTTATTCCCCCCAAAAAAAATGCTTTCCCTCAAGATATGGTCAGTATCTCAATTCAAATTTCTAATGCAGTTTGCAACCAAAATTACCCATTTAAATACATCATAAAAGTTTTAAAATATAAAATGACATACATAGTCATGGCTAAAATTAATATTAAATTAAGAATTCAATTTTTGTTAAAATCAAACTAAGTTTAATTTTGGACCATTTGGACCTTAATGTAGACCAATTTGAAAACAGGACCAAAAATTAAGAATCTAAATACACGGTTAGATTCGGCATATCAAAGAACCCCAATAGTTCAATTTTTGATGAAATCAAACAAAGTTTAATTTTGGACCCTTTTGGCCCCTAATTCCTAAACTGTTGGGACCAAAACTCCCAAAATCAATCCCAACCTTCCTTATGTGGTCATAAACCTTGTGTTTAAATTTCATAGATTTCTATTTACTTATACTAAAGTTATTGTGCACAAGAGTGCACACACTGAAATGTCTCGCCTTCTTTACTAACCATTGATTTTATGTTGATAGTCCTAAATATAAAGCTTTACTACAAGTAACACATAAACTTAACATGATCCAAGAAAATGAAGTTAAGATCAGATAAACCAAACGAGAAACACATGTACACCTTACAATCATTCAATAAACCAAACATAGTTGACCTATTGCTTATAGTTTCTAAGAAACAGTCTTAACCAAGAAAACTTAACATTGACCAATGAACCATGAAAATGAGGTCAAGGTCAGATGAACCATGCCAGGCAGACATGCACACCTTACAATCAATTTATGCATTAAATATAGTTGATATAGCAGTGATATTTCAATGGAAATTGACAATTCCACTGAAATATTAGATATCATTTTGCATGCACTGCTTATTTTTAAATGAATTTATAAGAAAACTTGAAATAAGAAAATAACCATTTTAATACAAGTCAACAATTAAAGAAATTACAACAGTTTATACATTATCCACATTGAAGACCTTTTAAACGAAAAGATCAACCTCTTTAAAATATTAATGTTGATAAATTATCATTTTTTAGTCAAAGATGTATTTACTTAATTGTACATGTAAATCATTTTTCTGGTTAAATCATTCATAAGTCCATGGTAACTTTTGGTCCTCTTGAAATCTTTCACAAATGGTTTTAATTTGCAATTTTACAAATTTGTTTATCGTGCATTAAACAAAAAACTTTGTCCAGTTTACATGCATACGAAATACTTTGTCAGTTTGGTCAGTTTTCTTCATCATCCATTGATATTATTCATGAATTAAGTCCAAAGTTTCTACAATACCATGCTCCAGTCTGCAATTATTCAAAAATATATGTTACTGGCATATTTTTTTTGTGTTTGTTTAATTTATTCACAACATTTATACACTAAGAGCAATTTAGACACATGTATGTCTATTGTTGAAGACTATGTGTTCTCTAGATATCTTTGGCTATAGTTGTTGGGTTGCTGTCTCTTAGACTTATAACACACATCTCCTTTTATCAAAATAGACTTTTATTGTTCATGGATCAGGTGTCTCTCAGAGGCCAAATAAAATACTATGTGTGGTTCCAGTTACATTAAAAAAAAATTAGGGTAGGTAGGTAAGAATTTTTTTTATTTTATGGCTTTTTTTTACATTGAGTCTATGGGAGCAACATTCTGACTTAAACAGTACTTACTGAAAATGACAAAAAAATCTTTAGGGTAGGCTATTGTTAAGACTAAAAAAAAGGTAGGTAAGGTAATTGGAACCACACATATATTTTTATTTAGCCTCATATTATCTTTCCCTTTGTGTTGTGTTTGTTGTTGGTTTACTATCTGGTTGAAGCATACCAGATACCTCATTTTATTCACATAATAGCCATTATTAACCATTTTGCATGATGATCAGATCAATGTTTTTGAGATGTGTTTACAGTTTATAGATGTGAATGATTAATGTATTTTTATTTCAAGTGTGGGAAGGATGAAAAAATAATTCAATAAGTACGTACCTTTCAATAATCTTATACTCAAATTTCTTTTCTGCTGCTGGTTCGTTTGTTTTCATTGTGTTTTCATATTATTGGGTGGATATTGATCGATGCACAGTCATCATTTTTGCAGCTTTGTACCTTCACCATGATCAACCCCTTTTAATATATGGACAACCTAAAAAAAAAATGTAAAAACATTTTATTAATAATTTTTAATTCTGGTCATGACCTGTATGCATCATATATTACTGATATTTATCATACAATGTACATATATAATTAAGAAGCTTATTTCATTTAAGTATAAAGATTCTAAAACACAATATTAACCTTTAGGGATTTTTTGTGTTGCATGTCCATCCAAATCAGAACATGACAAAATTAAGTTGAATGTGCCTGACATTGTGTAGTAAACATCTTTCCTTGATTGTGAAGGCACACAATGTAATTGAATATTGAATAATAAAATTATTATTACATTCCCACCTCCCCCTTTTCAGAACACCAAATGGTCATCCTCAAAGTGTGAACTAACGGAGCACATGAATGAAGCTAAAGGGGGTGTATATCTTTTTTTTAATTTTAATGAAAAAATATTCATGATGTAAAATTCAAATATAAAACCTCTTAAAAATTACCTACCTGTATCTGGTGTACGTCTGCCCTACATCAACACATCGTCAATTCTTGGTTCAACAGCTAATGTCATGCCTAAATGTTCTGCCTTTAATGTCTATTTCTTTATTTATCGAAGGTTATTGAGTATTAATAATTATTAACATGATTAATGTAACCACAGCTGGACAGGATACATCCTCGTACAATATTTTTAGTTTCAAATTTGAACACATTTCGTGTATTAATGATAACGACGATCTGATTGGCCGATCGGAAATCCCGGAAATTGAGTTATCCAATCAAATCAGTGGTTATATTTATAGTCTGGTAGAAAAAAATGGCAGCCTCCATGAATGTAAACATGTGTGTTGAAAAACAACATTATAGACTAGAGTTTCACGAATTTTCTGCTCAAATTATGCCAAAAACACTGACATTTAGCGTACAATTGATTGGAGCGGATTTTATGTGAAATGTTTCTATAGATTAACTTATATGACCCGAGTTCCAGTGCCGAGTTCAGGACATGAAAATGATGAAAAATTCATCACACCGACAAAGTTAAGATACCGAAACAGTTTATAGAACAATGTGGAAAATGAAAGCCGTTCACTTTTACTTTTCTCAATAGAACAGTAGACCAGTAACAGTTAATGAACATGATGAAGTCAAAGGAGAAATAATTATATTATTGTATACATGTAGACTGTAGTGCAGGGCAGTTGCAAGTACGGTCACTTGAAGAAAAAAACGGAGTTATCCTAACAATTCGTACAGACTGAAGATAATTTCTGCAACAGAACTGTTTAACTAGAGGCTCTCAAGAGCCTGTGTCGCTCACCTGTATTTACTGATGCTTTAGAAATCATGTAAAATAAGGTTTAAATCATAATTAATAGTATTAGATATTAGATATTATAATGATATCTAAGATAATAACAAAAAACTGCAAAATTTTTGTAAAATTACTAACTCAGGGGCAGCAACCCAACAGCGGGTTGTCGGGTTCGTCTGAAAATTTCAGGGCAGATAAATCTAAATCTGATGAACATTTTTGCCACCTGTCAGATTTGCTCTAAATGCTTTAGTTTCATAGATATAAACCAAAAACTGCATTTTACCCCGATGTTCTATTTTTAAAATTTACAAAAAATTGTTAAAAATTGACTATTAAGGGCAATAGCTCCAAAAGGGGTCGACTGACAATTTTGGTCATAGAAACTTATTTGTAGATCTTACTTTGCTGAACATTATTGCTGTTTATAGTTTATCTCTATCTATTATAATATTCAAGATAATAACCAACTAGAGGCTCTCAAGAGCCTGTGTCCCTCACCTGATTCTACTTTGGTTTTGGAAATAATGTAAAAATAGATTAAAATCATAACAGATACCCTAATAATGAGTGAGGCCAAATTTGGTTTAATATTGGTCCTGTAATTTAATAAAAAATCCTGGTGGCCATCTTGAACAGTAAATCGGCAACAAAGTAGCAACACTTAATCAGCACCTCATAAGAAACATTTATGCCATGTTTTGGTTTCATTCCATTCAGTGCACCTCTAGAAGAAGCATTTGTATGTATTTCCCATAGGGTCTTATGTTAAAGGAAGTCCTCCCATTGGCGGCCATCATGGATAAAGGATCAGCTTCAAAGTAACAAAACTTAGTCAGCACCTCATAAGGAACATTCATGCCATGTTTGGTTTCAATCCATTCAGTATGTGGTTCTCTAAAAGAAGACATTTGTATGTATTGTCCATAGGGTCCTTTGTTAAACATTGTCCCCATCTGGCAGCCATCATGGATGAAGGATCAGCTTCAAAGTAACAACACTTGGTCAGCATCTCAAAAGGAACATGCATGCCATGTTTGGTTTCATTCCATTCGATGGTTCTCTAAAAGAAAACATTTGTACGTATTTCTCATAGGGTCCTATGTTAAACTAAGTCCTCCGCTGGCGGCCATCTTAGATTATGGATTGGCTTCATAGTAACAACACTTGGTCAGCACCTCATAAGGAACATTCATGCCATGTTTGGTTTCATTGCATTCAGTGGTTCTCTAAAAGAAGACATTTGTATGTATTTCCCATAGGGTCCTATATATGTTAAACTAAGTCCCCCGCTGGCGGCCATCTTGGATGATGGATCAGCTTCAAAGTAACAACACTTGGTCAGCACCTCATAAGGAACATTCTTGCCATGTTTGGTTTCATTCCATTCAGTGGTTCTTTAAAAGAAGACATTTGGATGTATTTCTCATAGGGTCGCTTGTTAAACTAAGTCCCCTGCAGGCAGCCATCTTGGATTATGGATCGGCTTCAAAGTAACAACACTCTGTCAGCACCTCATAAGAAACATTCATGCCATGTTTGGTTTCATTCCATTCAGTGGTTCTCTAAAAGAAGACATTTGTATGTATTTCCCATAGGGTCCAATGTTAAACTAAGTCCCCTGCTGGCGGCCATCTTGAATTATGGATCAGCTTCAAAGTAACAACACTTGGTCAGCACCTCATAAGGAACATTCTTGCCATGTTTGGTTTCATTCCATTCAGTGGTTCTTTAAAAGAAGACATTTGTATGTATTTCTCATAGGGTCCCTTGTTAAACTAAGTCCTCTGCAGGCAGCCATCTTGGATTATGGATCGGCTTCAAAGTAACAACACTCGGTCAGCACCTCATAAGAAACATTCATGCCATGTTTGGTTTCATTCCATTCAGTGGTTCTCTGAAAGAAGACGTTTGTATGTTTTTCCCATAGGGTCCCATGTTAAAATAAGTCCCCTGCTGGCGGCCATCTTGGATTATGGATCGGCTTCAAAGTAACAACACTCGGTCAGCACCTCATAAGGAACATTCATGCCATGTTTGGTTTCATTCCATTCAGTGGTTCTTTAAAAGAAGACATTTGTATGTATTTCTCATAGGGTCCTATGTTAAACTAAGTCCCCTGCAGGCAGCCATCTTGGATTATGGATCGGCTTCAAAGTAACAACACTCGGTCAGCACCTCATAAGAAACATCCATGCCATGTTTGGTTTCATTCCATTCAGTGGTTCTCTAAAAGAAGACATTTGTATGTATTTCCCGTAGGGTCCAATGTTAAACTAAGTCCCCTGCTAGCGGCCATCTTGGATTATGGATCAGCTTCATAGTAACAACACTTGGTCAGCACCTCATAAGGAACATTCATGCCATGTTTGGTTTCATTCCATTCAGTGGTTCTCTAAAAGAAGACATTTGTATGTATTTCCAATAGGGTTCTATGTTAAACTAAGTCCCCCGCTGGCGGCCATCTTGGATTATGGATCGGCTTCAAAGTAACAACACTCGGTCAGCACCTCATAAGGAACATTCATACCATGTTTGGTTTCATTCCATTCAGTGGTTCTCTAAAAGAAGACATTTGTATGTATTTCCCATAGGATCCTATGTTAAACTAAGTCCCCCGCTGGCTGCCATCTTGGATTATGGATCGGCTTCAAAGTAACAACACTCAGTCAGCACCTCATAAGAAACATTCATGCCATGTTTGGTTTCATTCCATTCAGTGGTTCTCTAAAAGAAGACATTTGTATGTATTTCCCATAGGGTCCTATGTTAAACTAAGTCCCACGCTGGCGGCCATCTTGGATGATGGATCGGCTACAAAGTAACAACACTCGGTCAGCACCTCATAAGAAACATTGATGCCATGTTTGGTTTCATTCCATTCAGTGGTTCTCTAAAAGAAGACATTTGTATGTATTTCCCATAGGGTCCTATGTTAAACTAAGTCCACCGCTGGCGGCCATCTTGGATGATGGATCCGCTACAAAGTAACAACACTTGGTCAGCACCTCATAAGGAACATTCATGCCATGTTTGGTTTCATTCCATTCAGTGGTTCTCTAAAAGAAGACATTTGTATGTATTTCCCATAGGGTCCTATGTTAAACTAAGTCCACCGCTGGCGGCCATCTTGGATGATGGATCCGCTACAAAGTAACAACACTTGGTCAGCACCTCATAAGGAACATTCATACCATGTTTGGTTTCATTCCATTCAGTGGTTCTCTAAAAGAAGACATTTGTATGTATTTCCCATAGGGTCCTATGTTAAACTAAGTCCCCCGCTGGCGTCCATCTTGGATTATGGATCGGCTTCAAAGTAACAACACTCGGTCAGCACCTCATAAGAAACATTCATGCCATGTTTGGTTTCATTCCATTCAGTGGTTCTCTAAAAGAAGACATTTGTATGTATTTCCCATAGGGTCCTATGTTAAACCAAGTCCACCGCTGGCGGCCATCTTGGATGATGGATCCGCTACAAAGTAACAACACTTGGTCAGCACCTCATAAGGAACATTCATGCCATGTTTGGTTTCATTGCATTCAGTGGTTCTCTAAAAGAAGACATTTGTATGTATTTCCCATAGGGTCCTATGTTAAACTAAGTCCACCGCTGGCGGCCATCTTGGATGATGGATCGGCTACAAAGTAACAACACTTGGTCAGCACCTCATAAGGAACATTCATGCCATGTTTGGTTTCATTCCATTCAGTGGTTCTCTAAAAGAAGACATTTGTATGTATTTCCCATAGGATCCTATGTTAAACTAAGTCCCCCGCTGGCTGCCATCTTGGATTATGGATCGGCTTCAAAGTAACAACACTCAGTCAGCACCTCATAAGAAACATTCATGCCATGTTTGGTTTCATTCCATTCAGTGGTTCTCTAAAAGAAGACATTTGTATGTATTTCCCATAGGGTCCTATGTTAAACTAAGTCCCACGCTGGCGGCCATCTTGGATGATGGATCGGCTACAAAGTAACAACACTCGGTCAGCACCTCATAAGAAACATTGATGCCATGTTTGGTTTCATTCCATTCAGTGGTTCTCTAAAAGAAGACATTTGTATGTATTTCCCATAGGGTCCTATGTTAAACTAATTCCACCGCTGGCGGCCATCTTGGATGATGGATCCGCTACAAAGTAACAACACTTGGTCAGCACCTCATAAGGAACATTCATGCCATGTTTGGTTTCATTCCATTCAGTGGTTCTCTAAAAGAAGACATTTGTATGTATTTCCCATAGGGTCCTATGTTAAACTAAGTCCACCGCTGGCGGCCATCTTGGATGATGGATCCGCTACAAAGTAACAACACTTGGTCAGCACCTCATAAGGAACATTCATACCATGTTTGGTTTCATTCCATTCAGTGGTTCTCTAAAAGAAGACATTTGTATGTATTTCCCATAGGGTCCTATGTTAAACTAAGTCCCCCGCTGGCGTCCATCTTGGATTATGGATCGGCTTCAAAGTAACAACACTCGGTCAGCACCTCATAAGAAACATTCATGCCATGTTTGGTTTCATTCCATTCAGTGGTTCTCTAAAAGAAGACATTTGTATGTATTTCCCATAGGGTCCTATGTTAAACCAAGTCCACCGCTGGCGGCCATCTTGGATGATGGATCCGCTACAAAGTAACAACACTTGGTCAGCACCTCATAAGGAACATTCATGCCATGTTTGGTTTCATTGCATTCAGTGGTTCTCTAAAAGAAGACATTTGTATGTATTTCCCATAGGGTCCTATGTTAAACTAAGTCCACCGCTGGCGGCCATCTTGGATGATGGATCGGCTACAAAGTAACAACACTTGGTCAGCACCTCATAAGGAACATTCATGCCATGTTTGGTTTCATTCCATTCAGTGGTTCTCTAAAAGAAGACATTTGTATGTATTTCCCATAGGATCCTATGTTAAACTAAGTCCCCCGCTGGCTGCCATCTTGGATTATGGATCGGCTTCAAAGTAACAACACTCAGTCAGCACCTCATAAGAAACATTCATGCCATGTTTGGTTTCATTCCATTCAGTGGTTCTCTAAAAGAAGACATTTGTATGTATTTCCCATAGGGTCCTATGTTAAACTAAGTCCCACGCTGGCGGCCATCTTGGATGATGGATCGGCTACAAAGTAACAACACTCGGTCAGCACCTCATAAGAAACATTGATGCCATGTTTGGTTTCATTCCATTCAGTGGTTCTCTAAAAGAAGACATTTGTATGTATTTCCCATAGGGTCCTATGTTAAACTAAGTCCACCGCTGGCGGCCATCTTGGATGATGGATCCGCTACAAAGTAACAACACTTGGTCAGCACCTCATAAGGAACATTCATGCCATGTTTGGTTTCATTCCATTCAGTGGTTCTCTAAAAGAAGACATTTGTATGTATTTCCCATAGGGTCCTATGTTAAACTAAGTCCACCGCTGGCGGCCATCTTGGATGATGGATCCGCTACAAAGTAACAACACTTGGTCAGCACCTCATAAGGAACATTCATACCATGTTTGGTTTCATTCCATTCAGTGGTTCTCTAAAAGAAGACATTTGTATGTATTTCCCATAGGGTCCTATGTTAAACTAAGTCCCCCGCTGGCGTCCATCTTGGATTATGGATCGGCTTCAAAGTAACAACACTCGGTCAGCACCTCATAAGAAACATTCATGCCATGTTTGGTTTCATTCCATTCAGTGGTTCTCTAAAAGAAGACATTTGTATGTATTTCCCATAGGGTCCTATGTTAAACCAAGTCCACCGCTGGCGGCCATCTTGGATGATGGATCCGCTACAAAGTAACAACACTTGGTCAGCACCTCATAAGGAACATTCATGCCATGTTTGGTTTCATTGCATTCAGTGGTTCTCTAAAAGAAGACATTTGTATGTATTTCCCATAGGGTCCTATGTTAAACTAAGTCCACCGCTGGCGGCCATCTTGGATGATGGATCGGCTACAAAGTAACAACACTTGGTCAGCACCTCATAAGGAACATTCATGCCATGTTTGGTTTCATTCCATTCAGTGGTTCTCTAGAAGAAGTTCAAAATGTAAAAAGTTTACGCCGACGACGGACGACGCCGGACGACGGACGCCAAGTGATGAGAAAAGCTCACTTGGCCCTTCGGGCCAGGTGAGCTAAAAACGGCCGTTTTAAGAGCCATGCACATTTTTCAAAAAGAATCTTAATTGTTTTTGTTCGTTAAATCAAACAGAATCTTATCATGCTTATTCTCAACCCAATTTGATATAAAATATTCAGTTATTTATTTATATTATTCTTCTTCTTTCGGTTTTCAGTAGTCCTTCAATATCTGAAGATTATATACTGTTTTGCGCTGCGTGGCCTATATATATATTTACAAAAACACAAAAATAATTGAAAATGAATTTGGAGTGCGTGAGAATTTTAAATTGTGATTAAAACTATGTACATAGGCTAATAATGAGTTAAATGAATTTGTGGAGAACAGTTGGTGTAAGCTGTTCTCTGAAAGTGTCGACTGTGGTTACAGCGACTGTGTGGACTGGTAGTAAATTCCACTGAGTAATGGTGTACGGAAAAAATGAAAATTTATATGTATCTTTTTTAGTAGAAATGTGTCTGAAAGTGAAACTATGGTTTTTGCGGGTTCTACTGTCTGATGGTATGAGAATAGCAGATGGGATTGCTACGATTTGATGTACTATTTTGTAGAACATTATCAATCTTGTGCGTAGTCTTCTTTCTTGTAGCGTGGGCCAGTTTAGTGAGTTTATCATGTCTGTAGGACTACTGATGTTATGGTACCTGTTACAGACATATCTGGCAGCTCGTCTTTGGACCATCTCAATTTTAGAGGTTTGTTCAGCTGTATGAGGGTCCCATACTGAACATGAGTATTCAAGCTTAGGACGACCTAGTGCCAGATATGCCTGGGTTTTGATGTTCTGACATGATGTTTTTAAATTTCTTTTTAAGAAGCCCAAAGATTTGTTTCCATTAGCTATGATGTTGTCTGTATGTTTTGACCATTTTAAGTTTGCTTGAAGTGTAATGCCCAGATATTTAGCTGAAGAGACTAGTTCAAGTTTGTGATTGTGAAGGATATAGTCATGTTTAAACTGTTTTTTCTTTTGTGATACTGTGAGGACTGTGCATTTGTCTGGATGGAAAGCCATCAACCAGTCTTGTTCCCACCTAGCAGCTGCATCTAAATCTAACTGGAGTTCATCACAGTTACTTTGAGATTTGATGGTTTTGTAGATGATACTGTCATCGGCAAACAGTCTGAGCTTACTGGATTGTAAGTATTCTGGTAGGTCGTTGATGTATACCAAGAATAATACTGGGCCCAGAACTGTGCCTTGAGGGACACCTGAGGTGACTGGAGCCAGGTCAGATGACTCTCCATCCAGGACAACTGTTTGTGTTCTGTCATTTAAGAAGGCAGAGACCCAGTTTAGTGTTTCATTTTGAATACCATAGTAGTTCAGTTTATAGAGAAGTCTTTTATGAGGGACTTTGTCAAATGCTTTGGCAAAGTCCATTATAATTAAGTCTGTTTGTGTGTTGTTGTTGTTATTTGCTGCAAGCTCTTGGATGAATGAAATGAGTTGGGTTTCACATGATCGTGACTGACGGAAGCCATGCTGGAGGTCATACAGTATATTGTTCTTTTCAAGGTGGTTGATGATGTGTTTGGTGATGATATGCTCCATAAGTTTACAGGAAATACATGTCAATGATATTGGGCGGTAATTTTCTGGCTTGTATTTTTCCCCTTTTTTAAATACTGGTGCCACATTGGCATGTTTCCAGTCTGTTGGTGTTATGCCAGTTTCAAGTGATGTTTTGAAGATTAGTGTAAGAATTGGAGCTGTTTGATCTTTGAGTTCTTTTAATATTCTGCCACTGATGTTATCTGGGCCAGTTGCCTTATGTGGGTTTATGTTGAGTAGAAGTTTCTTGACACCTGGTAGTGATATTTCTAGTGGTGTTATTGTGGGGTGTGAGCTTGGACCTTTGTCTGGAATGCTGTTATTTGATTCGGTTGTAAACACTGATTGGAACTGTGTGTTGAGGATGTCTGCCTTTTGCTTTGTGTCTGCTATTAACTGTCCTTCTTTTTTCAGAGGAGCTACACCGGTGTTATCTGTGCGCAGTGATTTTATAAAGGAGAACAGTTTTTTAGGTTTTGACCGATTGTTACATGGTTGGTCCGGTTCATTTATGGGTAGATCCAATATCATTTTTTCAATATAACCCCAATATGCTTCCCTCTGTTCTTTTTGTACTTGTTTTTTCAGATGTTTGTACTTGTCTGCATACTTGATGTTTTGTTTCATTTTATAATATAATTTATTTTTTCTACTTATCATTTTCCTGAGGTTGTTATGAATCCAAGGTAGTCTGTTTTTGTATGTTAAGAACTTGTGTGGGATGTTGTTTTCCACTGATTGTGTAAGATTTGTTTTAAATATGTTCCACATATCATTTACATTTGTTTTGTCCTCTAGGTTTTGTAGATCATTGTATGTTTTTTCTAGATCTGACTTGATGTTACTCCAGTTGGCTTTGTTATATTTTAATATTTTTTTAGGCTTTTCTCTCACCCTGCGTAACCAGATGTCAGATTCTACATAGACAATGTCGTGGTCACTAAGGCCTATTGGTGGTAGTGTACTGACCTTGTTAATGTTAGATGGATTATTGACGAGTACCAAGTCTAAGATTCTTTCTTTTCGTGTTGGTATGTTAACTATTTGGTGTAAATTATGATCATATAGTAGTTCTAAAAGTGAATTATGCTGTTCTTGATCTGGTTTCCCTGGTATTACCTCAGGGACAGACCAGTCAATGTGGCCTAGATTGAAATCGCCACCTACTAATATGTTACTGTTTGATTTATTCTACTTAATGATAAGTCTAATTGTTTTATGGAGTTCCCATCATCTGAAGGTGGTCTATAATAACTTCCAACAAGAAGGTTTTTTGCACCCGATATGTTTATTTGTGCCCAAATGATTTCACAGTCAGTTTTTAGTTCTTGGATTTCTGTGCTGATAAATTCTTTGGTGACTGCAAGTAATACCCCTCCATAGCTTTGGTTGTTTTTACTTGGTGGTCTATCAGTTCTATAGATGTTATAAAGATCTGTTGGGAAGTATTCGAACGAGGATGAGTTTTTGTCAAGCCAAGTTTCAGTACCAAGGATGATATCTGGTTTTGCAGAGTCTATCAATTGTAGAAGTTCTGCAACTAATTATTGCACATTTAATTTTATTTCTTAATAGTTTAAATGTATCCTTTCAATGTGTCATACTCATAGGCTATATGGTGATGCATTATATTCACCCTACATCTGAGGAGCTACCATTTTACTTATTTTATATGGGGGGGGGGGTGTCTTTCAGACCAAATGATTATTTTCATTTGTTGCTAGGCAAGTGATTTCATATTACGTTTAACCATGTAAATGTTTTGAACAAATGTTTCATATACATGTATATATGTAGGTTTATGAAATATTCATTACATCCCATATATTATCATGATTATAATATTTAATTTCTTATCAGGCCAGCAAATTATATGTTGCAAATTAAATCCTTTATATAATAATCATGCACTTAATTATTTGAAAAAATTGAATAAGAGGTATATATTCCTTTAAATTTCTAAGTCCAAAATTCCACTGGAATATTTGCATTAAATCAAAACTCCACTGAAATATTAACAATAATATTCCACTGGAAATTAATTGGAAAATCTTTGGAAGTTTCATTGGAAATTTCACTGATTTTCCATTGGAATTACAGTGTGAAAAATATTCCAGATGTTTTGGATGAAATTCTAATGGGATTCCATCGGAATATTTTTTTCCAGTGAATACCAGTGTAATTTCACTGGAAATCCAGTGGAATCCCGTACTCATTTTCAGTAGGGGACCTATTGCTTATAGTATCTAAGAAACAAACTTACCCATGAAATCTTAACATTGACCAATGAATCATGAAAATGAGGTCAAGGTCAGATGATACCTGCCAGACAGACATATACACCTTACAATCCTTCCATACAACAAATATAGTTGATCTATTGTTTATAGTTGAAGAAAAACAGACCAAAACACAAAAACTTAACACTGAGAAATGAACCATGAAAATGAGGTCAAGGTCAAATAAAACCTGTGAGACTGACATGTACATCATAAAATATTTCCATACACCAAATATAGTTGACCTATTGCATATAGTATTAGAAAAAAGACCAAAACTCAAAAACTTAACTTTGACCACTGAACCATGAAAATGAGGTCAAGGTCAGATGACACCTACCAGTTGGACATGTACACCTTACAATTATTCCTTATACCAAATATAGTAGACCTACTGCTTATAGTATCTGATATATGGACTTGACCACGAAAACTTAACCTTGTTCACTGATCCATGAAATGAGGTCGAGGTCAAATGAAAATTGTCTGACGGGCATGAGGACCTTGCAAGGTACACACATACTAAATATAGTTATCCTATTACTCGGAATAAGAAAGAAATTAACATTACAAAAAATGTTGCCTTTTTTTTCAAGTTGTCACTGAACCATGAAAATGAGGTCAAGGACAATGGACATATGACAGACGGAAACTTCGTAACATAAGGCATCTATATACAAAGTATGAAGCATCCAGGTCTTCTAGCTTCTAAAATATAAAGCTTTTTAGAAGTTAGCTAACGCAGCCGCCTCCGCCGTAGCTGCCGGATCACTATCCCTATGTCGAGCTTTCTGCTACAAAAGTCGCAGGCTCGACAAAAAACCAAGAAAAATGCTTATTTGGGCCCTTTTTTAGCCCCTAATTCCTAAACTGTTGGGACCAAAACTCCCAAAATCAATCTCCGAACCTTCCTTTTGTGGTCATAAACCTTGTGTTAAAATTTCATAGATTTCTATTTACTTATACTAGAGTTATTGTGCGAAAACCAAAAGTCTTCGGACGACGACAACAACGACGCCAATGTCATACCAATATACGACCGCAAAAATTTTCCGGTCATATAAAAATGTGTTTGTTGAGGCATAAAACTGTAAAAAAAATAATCTTTCAAGGGCAATAACAATTTCTATAATTTCTCCCAAAAAAACTATTTCGTACAATAA